GAGTAAATGGCATTATACATTTTACTGTAGAATCATTTCTCTCCACACCACAAGATTCCAGTCAATTTTCCCCCCATTTGGTCATTTAAGGGTTAACTCATGCAAAAAGGTTATGCTGTAGGTTCCTAGCACTTGCACTCCACCTTCTCTTTCTAAGCTTTCATACCAGGTACTCGAAGACTAAATAGGGTATATTGTATTTGTGCATAAAAGTGGATGTATGTAACGCACAGAAGGAAACGTTTCCGACCCCATAAAGTATATATTTTCTTGATCAGCATCATATGTCTGTCTGTCTGTCTGTCCGTCTGTCTGTCCGTCTGTCTGTCCGTCCGTGTTGTTTGTCGTGTTGTTTGTCCCCCCCCCCCCCAACAAACGTCGGAATGTCTTACTGGTTGCCGGGTATACAAGTTGTGACACGTAAGAAGCGTCTCACACGTCACTTCTCGTTTTTCCTATATTTTATCAAGTCAATGCAAACCGAAAGCAAATGCAAACCAAACGAAAGTCAAGTCATGGTAGTCAAGTCATGGGAACAGTAGAAGAGACACATAGGATGATGATGAGAAGGGGAGCAGGAGATGCTAGGATAGCTTCCCAAAGCGAGAGGGAACGAGAGCACAGAACGCAAGCCAATCAAGGTATTCAAAGAGAGCATATTTAAATAGCTTTTAACATGCACGACCTGTCGGCAAGCTTTGGGTGTAGTTAAGTGAAGGCCAAAACCAAAAGGCGACTCAAAAATGCAGTCGGAAAATGAGTCGACACTAGAGAGGTAGAGAGACTTGCTATAGATAGAAGATGTATCGGCCACTAGAGAGAGAGGAGAAGGAAGAGACTCCAGCGTTAACGGAGGTGACGGGGTAGAAGCAGGGTAAATTCAGGAAGAGAGACGGCATGCACAGGCACACAATTATGAAAAGTGCCAAAAGCGGAGCAGAACAGAGTTTAAAGTCGTTTGGAAATACATTCGACGTAATTCATTTTTGCCTGCACAGCCAGAGCCAGAGCCAAGCTCAGCCATTCCTTTCATGCAACAACCAGCATCCTGGCCAGCATCGTAGCGATGGCTTCAAATGCATTGAAATTTTCCAGGCAGAAAAATGTGACGGCTAAGAAGCTAAACGTGCCAGTCTAATGGCACCACCTAGCCAAAGTTTGTTTATCATCAGATTAACGAGAGATCTGGGAGTCGAAATGGTGTGCATTCGGAGAAAATCTTTTTTCAATGAAAGAGTTTAGAAAGAATTGTAAAAATTATAAAGTTTTGAAGGTTTAGAAATGCTAAGGGAATATAAGATATTATCGAGGAGGGACGTGTGAGACGCTTCATACGCCTAACAACTTTTATACCCGGTACTAAGTCAGTATATCCAGTACTTTAATGGTTTTTTTTCGAATTTTACCTTTTACATTTTTTCTACATGTGTCACTTACATCTACATACATCACTTCTCACAACACGCCCTTTTAGCTAGACACCCTCCCCAGTGGCGCACACTGCATGAGGCAGAGTACGCGAGCGAGAAAGAATGATCAACAATAGACAAGCATAAACAAAGCTGCTGGAAGGGTTGGGGGTGCAGTGGCTAGCAAATTAATTTCTTCATACTGGCCGTAATAATGATCCTATTTAATCCCAATTTGGTGATCTGATAGATATGCCCATTCTCTACGGAAGTGCGTTTTTACTCTTTACTTACATTAAATTTGTGGGTAAGGGAGATTTTCGCTCTTTGTGTGGGCGGAAGGGGGCGTATCAAATTTTTGAAATACTCTTGTATCAGTTTGATATCACAGCAGTCTGGATGCAAAATTTGGTGGTTTCAGTTTTTATAGTCTCTGAGAACTAGCCGATAAACAAGACGGATAGACGGATGCTGATTGATCGGCTGTTGATGCTGATCAACAATACATATGCATATATATTTTTATATTGAGCACATTCTCTCATTCCATACTCTGCTTCTGCATGGCCTCTGCAGTGTGTGGTTCTAGAGGAGGGTGGAGAGATAATAGAACGTGATGGCGTGTGAAGCTATTTAAATGTAGTTGACATATGTACATACATATGTAGAGCAAATCAAAATCACAAAAATCATATTTTTTGCATTTGAAAGCTGAATATTTTCCAGACGGTGAGCTAAAACCACAAATATGTACATTATAGACGGATTCCTCAGCTTTCTAGAATGGCCAATTACAATACAACCAGATGTACGATACTTCAGTTATGTGAAAGAAACGCTGCTTCTAAGAAAGCATTCAAACAAAAAATAACAGACTTTAAAAAATTGTTTTAAGAACGTATAGAAAACGTGTGAGACGCTTTTTACGCGTCACAACTTTTATACCCGGCACTCAGTACTACATCTGCACCTTAGCGGTGTTTTGTCATGTCATGTTTCATCTGTCATCTACATCTACAACACTTCTCACACCAACACGCTCCTTTAGCTCGGCGCCCTTCCCTAGACCCACACACTGCAGACTCGCGGCAGAGGCAGCGACCGCACACAAAAAAAAACAAATATAAGCTGCTGGACGGGGTGGGTTAAAAGTTGGCAGAGGCATAGGCAGAGGGACGGCAGAGGCAGAGGCCGAGTGAAGCAGAAGCAGAGTGTAAATGAGAGAATGTGAAAAGAACAACAAAAGCTGCGGGACAGGGTGGGTTTGGCCACTGCAAATGAATTTCTTCATTCTGGCTATAATAATGATCCAATCGGATCACAATTTGGTGATCTGATAGATATGGGGATTCACTACTGTTTACGCTGTTTACACAGAAGTTTGTTGCTATAGAACATACATGTAATATATGAGTACGATAGAGAAAGAGGAAGAACATGCATGTAATAGATGAATATCGAAATTGAAAAGAAGAAGATTATTAAATTGATTTGAATTCCGACTCGGTCGAACCAGCAGCACTTGGCTTTTTATTTTGAGATTTTGATTCCGAACTGGTTGCGAGGAGTTGCGGAAACACCTACGGAATGGTTTTCTTTTATCTTTTAAATTGTAAGTAGCTTTGGGAGGTTTTCACCCTTTTGCTGGGTCGGGAGTGGCGGGGCTAATTTTTGAAATACAGTGGTTTCAGTGTGAGCATATAGCAGACTGGATGCAAAATTTGGTGGCTCAAGCTTTTATAGTCTCTGAGAACAAGCCGACAACCAAGTCGGACAGACAGACAGACATGCCTCTATCGACTCGTCTATTGATGCTGATCAAGAATATATATACTTTATGGGGTCGGAAACGTTTCCCTTTGTGCGTTACACACAACCGTTATTCCCCACAAATTCAATATACCCTATTTACTCTTCGAGTACCGGGTATAAAAAATGTAAAGCCCTCAGTCTATCAGAAAAACGGTTAAGCTCGAAGAGCCACAAAAAGTCAAAATTTTTCGGGTAGTGTAATTAGAGTATTTTAAGGAGTTTTCCATCGATAGCTTTCTTCTTTTTAAAACCCATCCATTTCTTCCTAAATTAAGCCTGAAAATATTTCTTTAAAAGGAGCATCTTTAATTCAAAATTTCCAATAAAATCTTACTTTAAATATATATTTTTGGAGATACATTATTCGCTGCTGTTGTTGCTGCCCAGCTTCAGCCTCTGTCCACAAATCGAAGGGCAGTGCTAAGCAAACAGTGCCATCATAAAATATATACACACACTCTTACATGCGTACTCGTACATTTTGTTGGCAAGCGCATATTTATTGTACTGAGTTGCGAATGCGCAATAAATTTTCACAAAATTTCGAAGCATTGTGGCAAAAAAATAATACTTTTTCATATTTACACATAATGTCAACGGCAAAAAAAACTAAACAAAATAAGGAAAAACCATGGGTTAAAGGAGGTTCAGGGGACTATAGTTAGGCTCAGGGTTTTTTTTGGTGAGGGGAGCGGAGAGTGAGTGGTAGAGTGAAGTATGTACAACGATTTTATATGCCCTTTTTTGAGCCTTTGTAAGTTTATATGATGCGCAGACATTTTTATTAATATCTACACATGTATCTATACACATTTGATACGAGTCGAGCACTAACGCGGGCACATGAGATGTGTGGATTTAGCTGTCACAACACAAAATATTTAACTGGCCCAGTACAACACACATGTGACAGCTTTTGCTGTTGCTGTCGATTTTGATGTTTTTCGTTGGACTGATTCAATGACAAAACGTTGTTGCAGCTAAAACGACGCATTAAGCCATAAAATACTGAAAAGTTAAGAGACGAGAAACAATGAAATGTTTCGCTGTATTTATAAATGAAAAAATTCCTACAGTAAATGTGTTGTTCTCATTTAGCTCGTAGAACTGAAATAAGATTGCCAAGTACTCAAAAAGAAAATTTAATAATTGTCTGCGAAAGAGAGATCTTAAATAAAGTTGAAACACGGCTCAACAAAAAAAAAAAAACAAATAAAAAATTAAATTTAGCTCTAAGAATATTTGGGGGTTTACACCCTCAAAGTACAAATGTAATTTTGAGTAGGCAATTAAGCTCTAGTTTGTATTTGTTTGGTGTATTTTGCATTCGAGAAGATAAGATCTCATTTGGTGCATAAAAAATGAGGAAGCATCTATTGAAGATATTTCTGTCGCTCAAGGCCCGTATTAGGCCTGTAGGCGGCTCGACTGCGCTAAGCCAATGCATTGGCTGGATCCATTGTAATGGATAATCAAGAAAGAGATGTTGGAGCGGGTGCCTTGCAATAGAGCGAATCGGCATACACACACACATTTACGCATTTGTAATTACGTAGAAATTAATCCGCCATCCACATTAAATTGCCAAAAGCTTTGCGCGCTCTCTCTGGCTCGCTCGATATACGCATACCACCCAAAAACGTACATTTAATTAACAAATTTTACGCATTTATTATCTATTTTCATGATGTTGCTGGATGCTGTAATCGTGGTTGGACTTCACACAAAATACCAAAACGAAAAATACAAACGTGACAACATAATTTTTCGAACACACAGTGAAAACGAAGGACGTCGATGCTGTCGAGGGTAAATCAGTGTCACTGCCTTGCCCCATTACAGAGCCCCTGGACAATGTATATATGGTTTTATGGTTTCGTGACAATGCGGGCATACCGCTCTACAGGTGAGTTCTCTTTACTTAATTATACCCGGTACTCAAAGAGTAAATAGGATAAATTGCATTTGTGCGAATAACGGTTGTATGTAACGCACAGAAGGAAGCGTTTCCGACCCCATAAAGTATATGTATTCTTGATCAGCATCAATAGACGAGTCGATAGAACCATGTCTGTCTGTCCGTCTTGTTTGTCGGCTAGTTCTCAGAGACTACCACCAATTTTTGGCTCCGGACTGCTGTATGCTCAGTGTATTTCAAAAATTAGCCCCGCCCCCTTCCGCCTCCGCAAAAGTGCGAAAACCTCCCAAACCTACAGTTTGAAGATAAAAGACTACTAAAACTGCCATTCCGTAGGGAATGACCATATCTACGAGATCACCAAATTGGGATCCGATTTAATCATTATTATAGCCACAATGAAGAAATTAATTTCCAGTAGCTAAACCCACCCCGTCCCGCGGCTTATATTTGTTTTTTGCACATTCTCTCATTCACACTCTGCCTCGCGCAGACACGTCTCTGCCTCTGCCTCTGTGCCTCAGTGTTTGGCTCTAGGGGAGGGTGGCGAGCTAAAGATGGGTGTTGGCGTGAGTAGTGTTGTTGATGTAGATGACAGATGAAGAAAAAATGTAAAATTTGACAAGAAACCACTAAGGTGCAGATGTAGTACTGAGTGCCGGCAATAAAAGTTGTGACGCGTAAGAAGCGTCTCACACGTCCCTTCTCGTTTTTCTTCCCTTCCACCACTCAATTGTATGTCTCCGGCGCACTGCACTATTGGAAACCTAACCACTTTTTCTGGTCAAAACCCATTTTTTTAAAAGTACGTAATACTACTAATCATAAGAAAATTATTTCTTGCAACTTCTTAGTAGTTTTAGATTTAACACGAGAACGGACGTGTGAGACGATTCTTAAGTATCACAACTTTTATTCCAGGTATTCAGCAGTACATCAGTTCCTAAGTTGTTTTTTTTTTCTAAGTTTACATTTTACATTTGTTCTCATATGTCATGTACATCTACATCACTTCTACCCGGTACTCCAAGAGTAAATAAGTATATAGGGTATATTGTATTTGTGGGGCAAAGTGGATATACATATTTAACGGAGAGAAGAAAACGTTTCCGACCCCAGAAACTGTATATTCTTGATCAGTTCATACGTTCCTCTCACTAATATGATTTTATATTAAAAAGATGAATAAAAAAAAAAAAATTGTTTCGTTTGGAAGGTATTCATTTTTGACACAAGAAGTGGTCAAATAACCCATAGTGCAATGTATGGTCCTGCACACACACACACACACTTAATTAAATGCTAACGAGAGACGGCAAGTCTCGAGTGTTTTCGAGAGTTTTCGTTACCTTTTCAATTCGTTTTTTGGTTGGTTAGGGGGGGGGGGGGGGGGGGGGGGGCACATAAGTAGGCTATGATTTAAGGCCCATCCTGTTTCCGGTGGGAAAAAATATTGCGTTCGTGCCTGTTTTTGTTTCACTTCTTTTTTTCCCCTGCTTCTTCCCCCCCGTTCGTTACCACTGTATTAAGCTTTTGTTTTCCTTTGTTCCCGCGTCATGGAATTAACTTAATTATGTTTACATAATTTAGAGTAATTAACCTCGGGGCGAGCGGAGCCACAGGAATTATGCGTGTGTGTGTTTGCGGGTCAGAAGCAGAAGCTGAATCAGGATGATTTTTTGCCCACCCTTTAAGGACTCAACTCCTTTTTACGCGTCAAAACTTTTATAAGCGGAACTCAGTCAGTATACATATCTGTCCCTTATTTTTTTTCTGTTCGAATTTTACTTGTTACATTTTTCCTACATCTTTCATATATTTCTCGCATCCACACTCTGCTTCGTGTAGTGTGCGGCTGTAGGGGAGGGAGGCATGCTAAAAGAGCGTGTTGGCGTGAGAAGTGATCGACGATAGATGTAGAAAAAATGTAAAATTTATAATGTTCAATTTAAAGAAGGTAAGGTACAGATGTTCTACTGAGTACCGGGTATAAAAGTTGTGACGCGTAAGAAGCGTCTCACACGTCCCTTCTCGTTTTTTAGGAGTTCTGGACTTACTCTTTCTCTCATTCTCACACTCTCTCTCTCTCTCTGTGTCTCTCTCTCTCTTTCTCCCTCCCTCCATCTTCCCATCTCTCTCTCTCTATAGAGAAGTATTTCATTAACGTGCTGCTGTTGCCGGTGGTGCTCCTGTTGCACTTGAGTCTTGGCTCCATTGCACTCTGGACCCACAATTAAGTTGTTGCATTTGAAACGAGTGTCGAGAGGAAGTGGCAGAGGGGAAGGTGGCTGTGAGGCAGATTCGACGGCGGTTTCCCGCATAAATTATTGTGTGTGTGGCATACAAAAGGGCGCTTAACGCTCTGTCGGAAGTGAGTGAAATTGCAACAAGTATTTTTGGCAGCACAGAGAGAGGGGAGAAAAGAGTTACAGAGAGAGAGTTACAAACAAAGAGAGATGGCAACAGAGATAAAGAATGAGAGTGAGAGAGGGCTACAGACGACAGAAATAATAGAGTGGCAGGCTGGAGGACCTCTTCGGATTGAGAGGCGACCCCATTTGACAGTCTGCCTGTCGCCCGTTTGTCTCTCAGCTAGTGTTTTAAAAAAATGCACGCAGTACGTACCCGGTACTCGAAGAGTAAATAGAGTATATTGTATTTGTGGTGAAACGTGGAGGTACACATGTAACGCATGGAAGGAAACGTTACCGACCCCATAACGTATATATATTCTTGATAACCATCAATAGCCGAGACCATATAGCTATGTCTGTCTGTCCGTCTGGCCGTCGTTAACATTTAGAGCCACCAAACTTGCCATCCAAATGTCTGGGATATCACAATGTTAAAAGTGTATTTAAAAATGTTAAAAGTTGGGATTAGATTGGATCATTCTTATAGCCAGAATGAAGAAATTAATTTGCAGTGGCTACCCTCAACACGTCCAGCAGATTTACTTATGCTTGTTTTTTGTTGCTCATTCTTTCTCGCTAGCACACTGCCTCGTGTAGAGTGTGCTCCGTCTCCAATCCGTGGGTCCTCTGGACCTTGGCCTAATGAGCAGGCCGAAAATAAATTACGTTAATTTTACTTCAAAAATTGCAAAGCTGCTGACGGTGGTGGAAGTAGTAAGCTTTGTGGAGGAGATTCTCCCTGAATTTATATTGACTATGGATTTCAATTCATTAATGTCCCAAGATTAAACATTAATGGGAATGGGATGTGATGGCTGATGGGGGTTTGTTGTTTTTTCATCCTCTGTACTCTTCTTTCGCGCTTTTTTCGCTCTTTTTAGCTTTGATGTTCGCGATAAGGAGGCACGGGACCAGCCCCGACATTGGTCAGCGCCGGAGGTTTTTGGCTCACGTGCCAAATTCCATTTTGATTCGCAGCCAGCAACCTTGGAAATTAAGGTGAGAATTTTAACCCATTTCCCCTCCGCACCACCCGAGACAATCATAGTTCCACCCATTAATTTGTATGTGTGTGAAATTTCAAAAACTTAAATATTTAATTGAATTGAAACCTCAATCTGAATAGATGCATTCATTAATTCGCTTGAATGCCATTTTTCGGGGTCATTGTGGATTTCAAGAGTGGCGGGGTCTGTTTTGTCCATGCCCGCGTGCCACGTTAATTGTAGTAAAAATGTATATAAATAAATGCACATTTTAAACTTAAATAAAGTGTAAATAAAAAAGTTGTTCCCACAAAAAGTATGTAGAAATAAATGTAGGTTCAATTTTCAATCAAGCTTTGCAGTTGCAAGTGGGATAAATAAAATATATATTGAAATTATAGTAAGCCAAAAAATGCAGAATGCACTTCAAATCACTCACTTGTTGTTGAGTTTTTTAAATTGATTAATTTCAATCTTTCAATATGCAAAAAGGTGTGCATTTTATATTGAAAAAAATATAAATATGGTGGAGGGGTAAACAAAGAAAAAAATGTAAATAATGTGTGGAAGCGCGTTTAGATGAGGCTTTAAATTATTTTAAGCATGGAAACATAAGTCTCTTCAGCTGGAAAGCTTTGGGTGGCCTTTGAAACTTCAGTATTATTACAGTAAAAATAGTTTAAATGATTTATTTAATGCTGCTCAAGAGTTTGTGTACTTTCAGTGTCGAAAGACCCTTTGTCAATGCCTTATACCCTTGACTAATTAAAGTAGCAGGGTATTTGGCAGAGGAAACGACAAGCAAACAGTAAGCAAATAACATGGGTAAGAAGAGCTAAGAAGGAGTCAAACAAAAACCGAACCAAAATGGAATGAAATGTGAAAAACAAATTTAGATATCAAAAGTTGTTAAATTGCCTCGCGCACGCGAAGTGTTTATTAATGTCTTGCATGTTTACAGATAACATGATTTACAGTTTCTGTCATGCAAAACATAGATACATCACACTCACACAAAGATACACGGTATACAAGTGCTTGTGCAATGGATCTGTGTATGTATGTATCTATATCGTCTCGTCTGGTCTCGTCCTGGCCTTTGGCCCTGCCCTGCACGGCCCTGCCTTGTGCCCTGTGCCCCGGTTCGTCTTTGCACAAGAATTTGACTTTTTAAAGGCCAACTAACTTAAGGTCTTAAGTGAGTTAAGCAATAAACAGGTACGGGCAGTTGGGGGAATCTACTTCGTTAACGAGGTTGCATTTTGAAATGAATGTGAAATGCACACGAAGAGGCAGCCACCATCAATTCTAGTCGCCAGTTGCCAGTGCAACCACACAATATCCTCTCATAATACGACATCAAGAGGAGGTGGAAGGGACGCACTGGGACGCTATGTGCTAAAAATTAGTCTGGGGACCGCAAGCGAGAGAGAGAGAGCTTTTAATTGCATTTCAATTGCAAGCCAATTAACTTGACGCTATTTTGTCAAATGGCAAAAACGTGAAGTAGAGCCAGTGCCAAATGGGGAAAAATGTTGGAAAAAATAATGGGGATGCGTATTAATATGCTCTAATAATGTTTATATATATTTTTACACCCGGTACTCAAAGAGTAAATAGGGTATGTTGTATTTGTGGTATATATACCGGAAAGGGTGGGGGGGGGGGGGGGGGGGGGGT